CAAATTGATTTTCAGATACACTCGCTTTATGTAATAGTCGTTGCTCAATCACTCTCTCCCAAAGCTTCGTAGTCTGCGCCACATATGACTAACCCACCTAAATCTACTCTGTCTCATCTTATAGCCTATCAGTGCCTCACCTAAATTTTCCTTTTCAATTTCTGACGAGTAGGATATTACTGTTGAACTTGGAAACCCATGATCTTTTTAGAATAATTTTACTTGGAAACCCATGATCTTTTTAGAATAATTTTACAGTAAAGTTTAAAATTTTAAAAATCATTTTGCTTGAGGGACCAAATATACAATATACTCCCACAGAAGTTTAATCATTCAAAGGTTGACCCCTAAACGTATCACTCTTTAATGAAAAGACGAAGGACGAGAGAAAGAGATCCCTTAGAAATGGACGCGTGGCTCTCATTGAAAAACTGGTTTATGCCATTTGGCCATGACTAACATTCTGAGTTCTTGAGAGAAGGCGTTGTCAATCATTATAAGTTGCCAAAAGGCAAAATGATCTTGTGGGGAGTATAGAGTGCTTTCACTTTATTAGTTAGAACTACATTTAGAAGTACTTTTTTGTTAGAATTTGAAGAGCAATTGACCAATTCCATATCAGAAAATAACTTTTAAGGTCGGATATTGTTCAAGTTTTAAATTGTCAGATTTATACATGTAAGAAATCAAATTCTTATTTTTTATCTTCTTTATAATATTCACCCCTTGTGATTTTGAATTAGATCCTAAAATTGAAAATCGAAAAAATCTCGTGTTACTTCCAAAAATAATCTTTAAGGTTCAAAGTCACAGCTACTTCGGAATGAAGTTCCAAATAATTCTCTTACTATAGGTTTGGATGGTTATAGACCGAGTAGATTGAAAGCCAGTGTCATGTAAAGAAGCGGTTCTTATTGATATTTTTTGTGGTTTTTTTTAGAGAAGTCTTAGTTGCTCTCAAGGTTATCTTACTAGACAACAGTTTAGTTGTGGAATAGAAGGACTCTTCCTAAACCGCGGTTCAGCTGTGGAATAGAGATTAGAAATTAGCGAATGGTAGAGGTTAGGAGAGTGGGTCTAAAAGGATTTGCTCGACTGGTTTTTGTCGAAAGTTAACTCTTTAACTCTATCTCTCAAAACAAATTTAAGGGAAAATTTCATATAGAACCCTAATTTATCGTATTATTTTATGGTAGACCCTCGTTCCGTTTTTTTTTCATCCGGCATAAGTGAACCCCTAACGATTTCACCATACCCCTTCATCTCTTATCTCCCTCATTTATTGACTTTTGATCATAAAAATTAGTCTCAACAAATCTTTTTATACCATTTCAGCTTAAAAACGTTTTTAATGGGTGGAAAGGGAAAAAGATGGTTAAAATATTTTTGGGATGAAATAGTATAAAAAAATTTGTTGGGGCAAATTTTTATGGTCAAAAGTCAATAAAGGAGAGAGATAAGAGATGAGAAGGTACGGTGAAATCTTTAGGGGTTTACTTATGCCGCTTAAAAAAAAAACGAAAAGAAGATTTACCATGAAATAATACGAGGAATTAGGGTTTTATACGAAATTTTCCCTAAATTTAATTGATATAGTGGATTTAAATTTGTCACGTCTGTGAATGTAGCCCTTTTGAGATGAACCACATAAATCTTTGTGTTCTTGTAGCATGTGTATTTTATATTTTATTTCTCATATTATAGTTTGTATTCTGACTTATTTTGTTTCGTAGAGAAAACTTTAACATCACACTGCTCTATTTCAAGATTCTAACTTGCTGCGAATCCCAAGATCATACATATACAAAATACATTTACCAGTAGATTGCCTTACACCTAACTTGTTGCTACTAGCATTGCCTTATATCTCACTTTATTCTCATCTTCAGTACGATTTAATCTTTCTACCCTTTTGTATCTAAACACATTTATAGGCGTGTATCTTATGCAAGGAATCCATTTCCTTTTACATAACTTTCATCCAAGGGTGTAGTTTGCATACAGATGCATCCGTAGGTGTACAGGTATGGTGTACCTTCAAATTTTATCATGGTATATAATTTTGATGTAAAATGTTCTTAGGACTATCTCAAAATCTATTTTTATATCTAATTATAAAATTTTAAATTTAAAAAATGTTTAAAACCAAGTAGATATATAAACATATAAAAATCTTGAAAATGGACGGTGTAGATAATATGTTGTAAAATGCACTATTTTTTAGACTGAAAATCTTTTTATTTTTCATGTCATACATCTTGATGTCGAGATGATAAATCAAAGGGTTTTTCAACATTAAAATTACCTTTTTTGATGGATTTTTTAGGGGCATCTGTGTTGGGTTTATGTGACCTTTAAAGGCCTTATGAGTGTGTATTGAAATACTTTTATTATAGTGATACATAAACTCAGTGAGAGTGTGGTCGCTCGAGGACCATACTAAGCGAATGATGTTTACTTATACCGGACTATGCTTATCGTTCTAGGCTAGTCGGTTGGAAAACATAAGGTACCTGGGCATAAAAAATTAACCGATGAGGGTTTTGGGTTAGCCCTTGATGAGGTCGGAGTTTATACCTAGATGAGTGAGCCGAGGAACTGTGTGACGCTTGTGTGTGATGGTAGGCCTACTGAGATGGGGACCCAAACCTCATCCATGTTCCATCACACGGCATGCATATTGATAGATCGTTCAGGAAAGTCAGATATCCACCTTTGGGTAAAGAGTATGCATGTGCGAGAGATACCCCTATGCGTCATAGAGTTGTGATCGCATCAGGTCATGATGACTTTGACTCGTCTCTAGGAGAGGACCTATAATCTACATACTGGGATTGCGACCCCTTGATTCATCGACCTGACTTTGGTGACCCGCTAATAAGCCCCTGCTTGGACTGTGGGTCATGAGAAACACTGGGTCGGTTCGATAAAGCTAGTGTGGTCTGTAGTCCACAGTTGGAGGTGGAGTACCCCATATTTACAGATTGATCATTTTCCCATCATATTAATTTAATTGTGTTCATTTTATTATTAAAATGAATTTATTTTTATTATTTAAATTTTTATGAACCTCTCAATATTTTATTTACAATTTTTGGTTTTATAAAAATACAGTTATTGATTTTACAAAGTTATAAAAAAAATTCAAATATATATTAATTTGTTTTAATTTAATTTTCTATCCTTTTTATAAAA